CGACAGAGAGCGGTTCACTACTGCGGGCCAGAACGACAACAAACAGCACCGGTTGACACTGATATGGCACGCAGTAGTGAACGACAAGTAGTTGGAAATGCAAAGATGCAGCGAGAGCGAGAGGTTCACTACTGAGGGTAAGAACTCCAACAAACATCTCATGCGCGACAGAGAGCGGTTCACTACTGCGGGCCAGAACGATAACAAACAGTAGCGGTGGACACTGATATGGCACGCAGTAGTGAACCACAAGTATGCCAATACGGAAAAAGACAGCGAACATTATACACAAAAAAATGTGGACGAAGAAGTTGTAATACAGGCAGCAATAAACATACATAAGTGTGTCTGTGTGTGTGTGTGTGTGTGTGTGTGTGTGAGAGAGAGAGAGAGAGAGAGAAAGAGAGAGAGAAAGAGAGAGAGAGAGAGAGATCATGCATCCCTGACCACCCGCGCAGCCACGATTTGACATCTTGTGTAAAGAGTTTTAAAGCGGTCGTTGATGTGAAGTCCTTTCCTGCAATGTTGACATTCATTATTCCCTCTATGCTCGCCTGCGTTCGTCATGACCTGTACCATTATCTCTTTGATGTACGATATGAGATGGGACAGACAGTCCGCAACCAGCCTCGTCATTTGTCGCGAATTCACTTTTGCAACGAACTTTTTAAATGTGTCCGTCGTCATAGGCAGCGCAACAGATTCTGCATCAGCACAAGGTGCTTTGCTAGCGACGACACATGGGAACTTGTGACGAACGTGGTGACAATTCAGTGCGGCAACATCGGTGCACGCCAGCAGGGCATGCGGCGCAGGCACGCAGTCCCCGACAGTGGTCCGAATTCCTTTGGAGGTTTGCATTGCTGTGTCGAGTTCTTCACCTGCCTTCGTCCTTTCGCCTTCTGCACTTCCCATGACAACTTCGTTCACACAAGTCACCGTCATTTCTCCAGCCAACAATCTACCTCGTGTGTGTTTCAAGGCATCCATGACGTCCGAGCAACTGTTCATCAGAGACGTCATATTGCGAGGAAGGTCATCCTTAGCAGTCGCGACACCCTCATCACAGAGACCGTACTCGTCTACGGTTTCCTTACAGTGACGAATACAGTCTGGTGCGAAGGCCAAGAGGTCGACGACACTGCGTGACGAAGCAGTTCGCGAACCCGTATTATATTTTTGGCTATCATACGATGCCCACCCCTCCTTCAGCACACACTTCTCAGGGATGGCACAAGATGCGACATCAAGTCCTTGTGATTCCCTGTGAGTTCTCTTCGTGACGTGGGCGACGAACCGATTCAAGACCGCGGTGCGCCTGCGCCTTTCACCATCCAACCATATCTGGAACTCGTTAAACGTGGTGGTCTTCGTTTCAGCTATTGCCTTCAGTCTGGCAGTCATGTCCTCCCTCAGACGAGTTATGTCTAAACACTTTGGATCGGATAGTAACAACCAGAACACGGTGAATATCCTGTGTTTCGCAGTTTCTGTCATTTCTACGAGCAGTGACTTAATACGGCCTAGTTGGTCTGACATCTGTCTCACCAATTGTTTCTGCTTATGTACCTCGTCTGTTAGCTTGTCTATATGTTCTCGCTGCTTCTCTACTATCTCACCCCAGTTCCGATCCATCTCAGTCGTCTTCTCTTCTTTGGCCCCCAGTAGTAGAAAGTGATCCGCCGTTGCATCACACTCTTCGCCTGACTTTCTCTTCTGTCCGGTTTTGGTCAATCTTGACATCTGGAAATATATGTACATACAGAGAAATACAGAGAGAGAGAGAGAGAGAGAGAGAGAGAGGAGCAGAGACAAGGCCTCACTAGTTCCATAGTTGTTGTCAGCGGTCGCCAACCAAAGATTGGCTATATGTACGTTGCATCATACATTGTTATTTATTATTGTACATCTCTGTTTCCCCCGTACATGACTCGATATAACACTAGACAACACAACTTAACAAATACAAAGCAGGTCATTCTTTCCAAACGCATCCGTCGGAATGAGGGAGCGAGAGAGATAGAGACTCAGGAAAGAAAGAATGGAGAAAGAGAGAGAAAGAGAGAGAGAGAGAGAGAGAGAGAGACGCCAGAAACAAAGAAAAAAAAAACATTCGCCAAAACTAAAATGTATGGAGTTCGCTACTGCGGGCTAAAATCACACTTATGTACCTCGTTCAATGCGTTCATGGCCCGCAGTAGTGAACTCTCTCTCTCTCTCTCTCTCTCTCTCTCTCTCTCTCTCTCTCTCTCTCTCTCT